GACCACTCACCTCCAACTATGTGCCGAGGTAAAGAAAATTTGGATCTATACATCCACTCCCCCATACGCCTCCATGGTGTATTGTTTAATTAGTTAAGCACATGGATAACTTTGCCTTTACCTCTTTCATAAAATGAGTCTGAAACAATCTGTACATATCTGCTGCAGACTGTAGGTGTAATGCCGGACTACAGCTACGTGCTAAGACACGCTCCATCTTGATCCTTTTGCTTACGCGCTCGTATGTCAACATGGAGCGTTTGTGGAGACAAAATTACAAACGTAATCTTGCTTTATCACCAATAGCTATGAACCGAAGAAATCTGTCTAGACTTGAGAGAGTGCCGGGAAACAGATGAGCAAGAAGGGGCGTGTGTCGTCGGCCTACAGAAGGAGACATGACTGAATTTCAGAAGTGGAATATTATACTTCAGCATCCCGTACTGTTATGAATATTACTGCAATAAATATATTTATACATTATTATATTACGCGGCAGTTACGCAGAACCAAAGTCGTGCACGAATTTTAATCACGTTACAAATGTGTTTATGCTACATTGTTTGGTCACATGTTTCGTCCTTGTGTTCACTCGTCGTGACACAGGTGCTACAATTTTCTCACGAACCATAATCACTATTTCTAATACAAAAAAGCTAAAGTTGTCCCTGTTCTTAACTAATTAAGCACCACGCCATGAAGGCGTATGGGGAGCGGATTTATAGATCCACATTTTCTTGACCTCGACAATAGCTGGAGATGAGTGGTCAGTTTCACGCTCCGGCCGCTTTACTCCAGGTACCCACTGGATAGGAACTTGGGTGAACCCCAGAGCCGGTCTCGACAACATGGAGAAGAGAAAATTCTTGACACTAACAGGAATCAAACTCCGACCCCTCGGTCGTCCAGCCCGTAGCCAATAGCTATACCAACTGAGCTATCCCGGCTCCCTATTTCTGATATATATTAAATAAAATAATTTTTATATTTAAAATATATGCAATAAGGAAGATGTGCCTTTAAAAGTTAAGGCTCCATTTTAAAATAGTTAAGATCTAGATTTGTATCAGTTTTAGAGCGCATCACATCTGCTTAATATGATGCAAATTTCGTTGCATAGTTAGCCAAAACTTCGGATTGAATTCTTTAACCAAGCATCTAAAATACAGAGTGGCTCTAAACTGTTGTCGGGGTTTCTGTTTATAGGCCACGGAAACGATGACAATAATTTAGATTCGCCCTGTATCCTTACAATTTCTTTCTAACTGCTTGTTAATGTTGTCTGTTTTCCTACTGCCAGTAATAGCTCTCAGAACCTTCATTTCGGTCGTATCAATGCTTCTGTTGTCCTTAAACTAATAGCATTCTGACCAATGAAACAGTGTGGGTACAGCCTACACACCATAAAACGTATTGTGTGAAGTCTCCTTCCAATTTTAACACTGATGTTCTAAGTGCTACGTAATTTCATATTGACATGTGTAGGTGGGGGGAGGGGTATGCGTGATGAAATTAACGGGTTCTAGTTCGGATGATTGGATGTATTAGCACCTTGGTTACAACTTCTCTTAATCACACAAATACAATTAGTACAGCGCTATCGCTCTTTCTACCCTTCACAAGTCACTGTTACACACACACACACACACACAAGTCCTCTCCTGGTAATGCAATTGAAACGCAGGAACCACCGCTTCAGATCACTCCAGATATCACTGCGCTAAAGCACGCATGAATTCTTCAACGTCCATTATACAGGCTGAATCGTACAGAACCGGCCCCATGAATTTGCTAATAATTCCGCAGGTGATGCATATAACCGCTCACAATTACGACATAATAATCCGTGGGCCGTGCTGAGTCGAATGGTGTGCGCATGATCCGGCAAGTGGCAGCCCTTATGCTGCAAGGTCAAGGACAATACCGAAACGTGTCTGCAGTGCGCAGGCGACAGTCATGGAGTTCACTGTTGAACAGCGAGTGTTTCTAATGCCTATTTGAAAACGGCGGAGAGTTTCAACACCTGCTCTGATGACGGCACACAATCCAAGAGAAGATACGTGTAAATTACTTTAATATCTGTATGGTATATTTTATATTACATCTCATTTCGTCGGGCTTGTTCTATATGAATCACCCTGTATAACACTTCACAGCTGCATCCTCACAACTCCTTTCCATGACGGCTTCGTGTCCTTGACTCACGCCTTCTAGGCTGTGCCTAGCTACGACTCGTAACTACCCTGAACTGATCTTGCATCTGAATTCACTTAAAGGCACTCTGCACAGACACCTATTAACGTAGACGTGTTTTCAGTTCCGTTGCTTAGAAACGTAACGTTCTTCTACCGTTGGTTGGCAACGTAAGCTACCCACCATGAACACTTGCGCGACATCATCCCATGTGAAAGCATACAGTAGTTTAGTGAATGTGCAGGGGAAACAATGCCAACGTAATTATGGCTCATAGCACACTATCCGAATCGAGTGTGTGACTCACAAAGACACTCAAATGCAGAACCCTTTTTTTTTTCAGCTCTGATAGAAGTTATGTATTCCACCGCAACACAGCAAGATTCGAATCGAATGAAGTTGAAGGCCTAGCTTCGCTGCATAGACTTGACTGGGCTCGATCTGGATAGTGTGCACGTAGCCTAAGGTGATAACTCCCAGGGGCTGGAGAGATGCTGTGCCCGACAGCGGATAGAGTTGAATCCATGTGCAACTTTGCCGTTCTGATAAATTGTTGAGAGCAATCCTGACCGGTGAGTTATTCACTATTTCAGAGAGTAAACAACGAGTACATGTAAAGACGACATGACAGAGAGACCAGCAGATAATAGAGAAAATTGTGCAACATGGGCTTTGTAACATATTTACCTCGTATAGTACTGCGAGGGTAAATCTGGGATGACATAAAATTCACGATCGACAGCCGGTTTTGTGTTACACCAGTTGGTTGGTTGGTTCGTTCGATGATTGATTGGTTGTTTGATTAATTGGTTGATTGCTTAGTCTTTTGTTGGTTGACTGGCCCGGTGGCTGGCTGGTTGATTAGTTTGTTGTTGATTAACTGGTTTGTTGATTGGGTAGGTGGTTGGTTAGTTGATTGGTTGACTGATTAGTTGGTTTGTTGACCGACAGGTATCGCGATTTGTTGCTTGATTAGTTGGTTGGTGAATTCGATAGCTGCTTGGTTACCCAGGGGATCTGATAATGTGCGACATTACGTTTACGATGACTTCATAAACTGAGCAGCAGAAAAGAACATCCAAACGACGGAGACGAGGGTTAATGAAGTCACCCTTGTATGAAGAAGGAAGCGAATCTGGGGCGGAGGCAGGGCGTTAGGCGCGAGGTCCGCAGCTCGGTAATTACTGAAATAATGATTGATGACGCTGATAACAGGGAGATGAACAACCGCTGTGGTGATGATTACTGATGATGCATTTAGTCTGAATAACGCGGGCTGGTAATTGCTGACGATGACCGTCAGGTGATTAATGATTTGATTTTCTAGTATTACAGAGTACGATGCTGTTAATGGTAAAGCAGTACACGTCAGAATGTTGCTCAGTCTGTCCTATGATTCTCTACTGATGAACAAGTTATGCAGATTCCGGCAGAATGATTATAGTAAGAGGTCAACAAGCTCTGGCTCAGTTCACCAGTACGGCGAAAATTCTGATCCTGAAAAAGAAACACCACGCATCCAAAAGTAGCTATACTTGCCCAGCATCGGCCCTCTTCCTATCAAATAACACACAAACAAAGAACGCTGCTAATTATGTTATAAAATATTTATAAAAGCTATCCATGTAACAGGCCATAGAGGACCATAGGGTTGTGAGACATCGAGGCTCTCACATCTAGACAATCAACTAACTGGAAGGATTAGGTCAATTGAAAAATCCTCATCGGGATTCGAACCCGCGACCTTCCGGTTTGTAGCATAGTGCCTTAACTATGCTACCGCGTGCTAAACCTATTTACAGTAAAGGATAAACTTGGAAGGATGTGGAAGATAACGCCCGCGGCTTATTTTGAGGTGTCATAAAATAATCTTTTTTTTCCTGGAAAACTATGGAAAATATTTCATAGAATCTGTGCAGATAATCGAAGCCGAGACGTCATACAAAAGAAGCGCGTGTGTGTTAGCCAGTTACCGCGATGATCGGCCATTTACAAGGAGCAAAGAAACAGAAAACTAAACAAATAAAAAGAAAAATGGCACATTTTACCAGCTAATAAACTAAAACAATAGCTAGTGACACTGGTATCGTATTCAATAGGATCATTATCCTGCACACTGCCCATCACCTACAGTTTTTCCAAACACACCGTTTCTGAAAGTGGACTTTTCCCGATATCAGGTTTCCTTCTTTCGGTATCTAGGAATGGAGGTTAACTCCACCTAATCAGGTCAAAGAAAATTTTCCTCTGTCACATGTAATGACTGAATTCCGAAATGCAATTTTCGAAAAAAAAGAAAGAAAAGGAACTCAAGCGGAAGGGCAAATGGCCAAACTAAGAATCGTGTTCCTTGTTGGACATCACAGTCAGGAACATTTAGTGTTATCGTATTCCTAACTAAAGAAAGGCCAAGTTGTCCCTGTGCTTAATAAATTATGCATCGGCAAAAGACAGGTGAAGGGTGGAGGCATAGCCCACCATCTCCGGTCTCCGCACTAGATGGAGGTGACTGATCAGTTTCACTCCCTGGCCGCTTTACCTCCGGGGAAATAGCTCCCCGTGCCCATCGGATAGGACGCCAGATGGGCCTCAGATCGCGTCTGGACGCTATGGAGTAAACAAGAATTTTGCCTCTTCCGGGAATCGAATCCCGGCCGTCCAGACTGTAGCCCCTCCCTATACCGACTGAGCTACCCCCTTCATTAGTATTCCTCATCATATTGTTCCTTACGACTAAATTCCTTCACCCTGAATCAGCTTCTTCCTTTATTCTTGACTTCACAATAAACTGCTTGTAGTAAACTTACCTGGGGTGGCAAGTAGCAATAGACACACATGAGAGGAGGCAAGCGTGAGGAGAAAGGTCACTGTCTGGCGACACCACTTGACCACTTGGTCCACGCGCATGCCCATCCCTCTGTTTCCATAGTCACTGTTAGAGCGCCGTCAATACCATCACCTACAAGAGCAACAGACATGTGTTACTTTCTGAAACATTCGTGAGTTGCAGTCACGTCTCTTTTACACATAAAAAAATCATGTTAAAGATCACAGCTCAGGTCACGCCACAGGTACCTATCCTATGTCATGTAAAGGTCAACTCGCGGACAGGAGTCATTTTACATATTCCACGAAATTATTAATTGTCGATATGTTATCGTATACAAATATAACCTTTACTGAAGGCTAGTCATTTCATGGTCATATGCAATTTCGGTACAACCACAACACATGAAGTTATAATCAGGTGGACAATTCAGCTTACGAGAACCTCTATCATGAAAATCTAGTAGTCACCCCATGCACGTGTCTCACTCTTCATAACCACACTGTGAAGAAGTTCCAGTTATAGTTTACTGGACAATTAAAATTATTGGAGCCTTCATCATAAGATGGTTTCAGCTACAGTCTAATGTAAAATTCAACGTAAAGAAGCCTCCTTCACCACGAAAGAGTACTGGTTAGCTGGTAGATTATGCCGTTTTTAATCATAAATGTTACAAAAATATACCAGTTATGCCCAAATTAAACCATAATGCATGAGAAAGTTTTCTTTAGTTTTCAAAACATATCTATGACATGAAAATATTTTTTTCTGACACGCGCTCTGTTTATCTTACGGACGTGTCATTTTCAATGATAATTACCTGATTGGAATGGGGGCATATTCTGTGAATATGTTATCTCACATGCCTTTCGGACTTACTAACCTAGGGATATCAAACCCATGTCAGACATATAATGTGTCATAGACATGTGATCTTTGACACGGACTTCCACATTTCATCTCAACGTTTCCACGTTCATTCATTTATCATTCCATTATTAGGAGTTATCGTAGCCATCGCCTGTTTTAAAAAATCTTATTTTCTATGAACGACTATTTCATCAACGCAACTGAAATGAAAACTCTCATTTTGTAGCAGATACGGAGCTTGTGCATAGGAACAACTAACTGCGTGTGACACACAAAGCCGTGCAGCGATGCAGAACCCAATGAAAACTGACTCGACGTGTCTCAAATTTAAAAGTGCACGGCGTGTATAGGACACCGATATTCTGTATATGACAACAGAGCTCAGAAACAACAAATAAAATTCGTTTTAAAGGCTGCTGTCTTACCAACTGCGAACATAAGCATTCGTGCTGTAACTCTTTTCCCTAAAAAAAAGTGTCGCAGAAGTCCCGAGAAGGGAATGCAACTAATGAAACTGATTTTTGTAGGTTATTTTCGATATCTTCGGACGCATATGTTTTACGGTGATCTGACAGGATGGAAAGATGTTTGCAGGAAGCCGTCGTGAACTACTCGAGGTACTGACCAAAGAACTGAGGAAAACCTCTAAAAACCTGTCAGGATATTCAATGTCCTGACCAAGATACGAATCGAGCACCTACCGAATGCAAATCTGGAGCGTTAGACCTAGGTAAGTGCATTCCGTGAAAATTGCATCTATTTTAACTCTAACCTAAAACTCAGGGAAATTCTCCCGATAGTACAATAGTTTTAAAAACCACAAAACTCGTAACAACTTAGGTGAAGACACGGTACAATTCATGTGATTTTCCTGGTTTCATAAGACTATCAAATGTACATATAAAAGTGAGGTATACACGATAGGGGAAACTAACAAAGTTTGATTTATGGAGGCTCAGTTGCAGGTTTATTACGTTTTTGGTGCTAAAAAACTTATTCCGAAATTGAAGGCTCAATGTCCTCTTTGGAAAATTTTCAATGCCAGTTCCAGAAAAAAAAATGCGGAAAACATCCACGAAAGGAGAACTCATTTCATTCGTAAAACAATTCCTCCATATACTGTTTCTGCAATAGGAAAAGCACAGGCCGGCCTCTTAGTGCAGGAATAACAGAGCAACTGCGCCAGACGTTTCTTGGCAGACCGCGAAAACCAATGTACAGAGAACACTGTGTCCTAGAAACACCACACACAGATTTATGAACTAAGAAAACACCTAAGCCTTCGCCCTTACAAATTGCAACGTTTGCAATGTACCACACTGTCGTCGCACACTGCACCTATTCGCTGACATGAACCTCTGTCAGTGATGAACAGTGACCACCATCTTGTACTGCAACTGATGGACATATGCATCATAAGACTTTTTGAATTTTATTTTAAGAAAAATTAAAGTATGATGGTAAACTGTTAAATGGTGCATTTCTTCTGGCAAACGTCTCAAACTTCTGGACACGTTAACAGACATATTGCTCAGAGAGCGGGTACAGTCAATCCAGATATTCTTCTTTACATATGTCACAACATGTGTCGCATGCTAAAATTAGCTTCATGTTGTTATTATTGACATAGCTTCTCGACCATCCTGCGGCTACGTTACGCACATAAGAGCTGTGTCCAGCCACCTACTCACGCAGGTTCTTCGCTCGCGGATTTTTCTACCCTGATAATGGAGGCGATACCGTCCTCCGAAATGTCGGTTCCCACAAAATCTACACGGCCCCACATCTTCATATGTACCGCCGAGGATACCTCAAATCTGCATTTGTGACACTTCACATAAAGAACAAAATGCAGTTTACACACGATTTCAGATGGCATCGAGCATCGCCACAGTGATATTTGGTCCCCCTGAAGCCAGGTCTATCTTATGAACATCGGGAAACACATGACAATCGCCCGCAACAACAACGGGGACTGCGTAAAGCAAGAGAACAAAGGATCAACAGCCAAACAACGCGTTGGTATTGAAGAATAATGTAGTGGAAAACAACGCCTAAACACATAGGCATAATAAGACATGAGCAAATAAAAAATTGAAATGAATAACGAAGAATAATATTGGAGGAGGAATAACAAAGAAACTAAAGGACACAAACAATGCCAATAATAAGAGCATGAGGAGAAAATAGCAGTAAAATTTGACAATTGAAACAGATTGAGAAGGTTGAATAGAAAAACTGATGACGAGGAAAACAATAAGAATTGAACAACAGCGCTAATTCAAACGGAAAGTAAGGAGAAAGAATGAGAAGAGACAATATAAAAGAATAAAGAGGGTAAAGAAGGAAACACAAAAGAATAAAAACAAAAGCTGTGAAAGGAAAAAAACCTAACAAGGAAAGGGACTAAAGCAAAGGTGTAGAAAAATGATACGGCTGGAACGTAGAGCAGGAGAAGCGGTAAGAGAAAGACGTAAGAGATATATCGGAGATGATGAAACAGGGCTGGAGACTGGTGTACGTTCCTTAAAATGCTACATAACCTGAATAACACTGCGAAACAGCAACACATGGTGCAAGCAGCTTACTGCCAGAGGTTTGCCTACGACATGCGGCAACTTCTCCAACTTTAATCTGTAGTGTGTAGTCTAAACGAAGTGCTGCAGGCGCAAACCTGTACACAGCAGCTGATGGTACGAAGTGCTTCTCGCAACTCAGCTTGCGACATTCATAACACCAAGGCCTGTTAACTAATTGTAAGGAGACCTGTTTAACATCAGACTAATTTTAAATGAAGTAAAGGGCAGGGATTTTAGCAATTGGAAAGACAAACGCTGGAGAAGAGTATTATGCTATGCGAAGTTCAAGTATTGGGTGTTAAAGTTTATCAAGATAGCGTGAGTCAAGGTAGATAAGAGGAAAACGGAAATGTATGATACGTACGCTGCATCCAGTTTTGTGGAGTGATGAATTAACAAATAGAAATGAAAAAAAATTCACATAGGGATAGAAGAAAATATTTCCGTTACTTGACCAGTACTGTGGGCCCTGATAAATGAAATGGGAACTTTGGAGTTGGGCCGCAAGACATCTAAACTTCACCATATTCGATATATAACGATGAGAGGAGAAGACACGGCAGATACACGCTGGAGTGACATGGAGAGCTTCGATGAATGCCTGGAAGACAATGATCACGTTGAATATGGTCCTGAGACACACCAAATGGTGTACGCATACAATGATATAGATGAACGTTTACAAGTAGCAACGAAAACAAGGGGCGATGTGCAATATAACGGAACTCTCATACAGCCAACTCGTAACTGCGACCACAAAAGGCACTACACTTATGTACAGGATCAGCGGCTTTGTCTTAGCCACTTTCAATTCTTTAAAGAAGAGGAAGAAAAGTGGTTTGTGTGTGCGCCCGCCTGACTGTGCAACTTTTAAACGAACTGACTGACTTTCATGAACCGTGGTAAGCAAATTATGACGCCGGAGGTCACCCAACAGTACACTGTGTTTTCAGTAATCTGGGGCCCACTCAGCCCCGTGAGAATAATTGAGGAACTATTTAAAGGAAATAGCGGCTCTGGTCTAGAAAACCGAGATTAACGGCCGAGGGAATCCGTTGCGTTGACCACGCGACATCTCCTATCCGCAAAAGTTGCATTAACTTCGCCGACAAGTGGCGGTCGCTCAGTCGGTATAGTTCGCTTGCGGACTACAAGCCACGGAGTTTATTTCTTTTTAATAACCAAGGAGAACGAACAAATTTGTGGAGTGCGAACGACATGAGAGTTACATAAAGCAAGATCTTGGTGTATGACACTGACCGTAGGAAAATATGCAACCCTTATTAAGGTATCTTCGGAGATAAGTCACCCAACCCTCCTCCTCGTGCTGGTCCCAGGTAGCAGTAAGACTGGCAATACCCAGCGGTTAAGTGCCGGGGCCTGTGTGGTACTGAGGAAGCAGTGTGACGCCTTCATCCCCATGGGTATCTCACCTGCAGCAACCAAAACCCTTCAGGAGCTCTAATGAGAGGTCCATGGAGGATGAAGCTTTCTGTTAGTAAGGGAGAGGAATCTGACCACTGAGAATGATAACTGGACTGGCTGAAGAAGCGGCCAAGAAGAGGAAAGCTCTTATTGAGGAACTGACGTCATGAAGTTCCAGCCGAGCCGGGACTGTGGTGAGGGATCCGCTGAAGCTGCAAGTGGTAGCGGCCTACAGTCTCAGTCGTCGGTACCCGTGAA